TATAAATCCATTTTCCAAACCTATTACCTGATAGAGATGGCATACTTAATATTGAATCCATCAAATATTGTAAAGCCCACACAATAAATCAATTAATGTATTTTAAAAAGCATTCATAAAGGATTCCATCACAACTGTCAAGCACATGGTACATTGATCCACATTTTCATTATAGGCATATATTACCTTACATTTTTTATTGTATATATTGTATGTGGTTATGTTGTGAATAAGTATTGATTTTGAGATTCCCTTTGTCCAATCTGAATACAAAATCTAGAAGCAGGTAATTCCTTTATGATGTATCAAAAATAGTATGTGTTTTACACTGATTGAGATATGAGAAAGTTAGTTTTTAAGCAAAAAGTATTGGTTCCAGAAAGGCTATTTATGAAAATATTTTCTGGGTATTAAAGTAGGAGCCCTGGTACCACGTTGCAGTGCCATGGGCTTGGAGGCCAGAATCGAGTGGATCTTTATTATTTTAAATAACTGTTACAGGAAAGTGTTTTGTTTGTTGAGTTTGGTGGGGAATTAGAGCAGACTGTTGGGGAAGAGTGTACAGTACTTGGTATTTCATGCTTACTGTGGAAAATGTAACCTTAAAAGGATAAAGTATATTAAGTGCTACCTAAATAAAACTGTAAGCTTGAAAGAAAAAAAAAAGTAGGAGCCCTGGCATAGAGATTATGCATTAAGCTGTTAACATGAAACCAATTAGAAACCACAAGAAATACATGGCTTTCTGTGAAGTCAGGTGCAGTTCTGCTCTGCCCTGTGGGACCACTCTGAGTTGCCATAGACCTGATAGGAGTGAGTTTTAAAGTATGACTGGGTTTTAACTTACAGGAGAATTCAGCTATGAGTACTCATGTCAGATTTAATTTATGAGCAAAGATTTTAAAAATTAGAATTCCCTGATGTTTGGAAAGGTTTATAGTGAGCGACTACAAAATACATATAATATCTAACTAATAACTATATTTTATTATCTAATAACTAATAACTACATGTACCTTGCTAAGAACTTTTAGCTTCTTTTAAAATCTGTCTGATTAAAGGGTGACTTAAATATTAGATATACATATATATAAAAAACTCTTTACATTTGATAAATGATAAATTGCTATGAAACAAAGCTATTTCAATAAACAGTTGCTAACAATGTCATAACTCAGTAGACATAATAAGTTAATGATATAAACAGAGGAACATTTACTTTGCTTATTAATCAAGTACTTTTTCCAAGAGAGATTTGTTAGTTCTTATGGTCCTCTTAATATTCTTCAATAACGCCATATTTTAAATGCACCCATTCTTTGTCAGTCTTCTTTATTCAGTGCCCAGTGTTAGAGTGAACCAGCCCCTAACAATATCACGGGGTTCATCGGTGCAATCACAAGGTGATAATATATAAAGATCATAGTAAAGTCATAGAAGACAGGAGAGAAAGAAGAGAAGGTCAGACACATTTCATGGTAGCATGCTCACCTCCGGGATGGCCATGATCTCAGCAGCCAAGTCAATGCAGAGCAAGGGAGGAGGAGAGACCCTCTTGATTTCTGACCAAGGCCTATAAATGCACAGGGGTGTGCCAGCCCCCCTGATTACTGGTAATCACATACATCACAGGAAGGGGACATGCTGTGAGTGCACATGTAGTAGGAAGAGGAGGGACTCTGAGTACACATGTGACAAGATGGGTGGGTCCTAGATTCAATATGGCAGCCTAATCTTGATCATCCTTAGTGGGCTTGACCTTTCCTCTGGGCTCTCCTGGGAAACAATCATTATGATTTATCAGTAGGGTATGAGCTCCACCTAGGGTGGGACAGACAATAGAGTCTGATTGCACTATATGACTGAATGCCCTCAATACCTCTAAGTAGCTGATGGCACAATGAACTAGCAAGCAAGCGACAAGCTGGGGATAAACCTTTCTGTATCCCACAGTCCAGCTTCCACATGAATATGAGGTGATGGAAAAACCATAGCATGGGTCAGGCGCACCTCTATCCCGAGAGTGGCATCTTTGCTCATTAATACGTTAAACAGTTCTTGTGTAGCAGATATAACTGATGCAATAGGTCATTTGGTTCCTTTACCACTGCTTCATGAGTTTTAATTATGGACCTAAGTAAAATGAAATCCCTAGAAGTTTCAACCTTTCCCCGATTTAACAAAATAAATGTCTGCAGGTTAGTTGTGAGGATTTGGGGTTTTTTTCCATACTGAGTTACGATCCATACGAAACGTCTTTGGTCTTCATTAGTAAGTATTTCAAGCACTCTTGACTTTCAGCAGGCAATCATGTATCATCTGCATAGCGCAGGTTGTTAATGAATCTTCCCCTCATCCTAATGCTTTATTCTTCACATAGTCCAGTTTCTCGCTTCATTTCAACATACCAATTGAGTAAGTAGAGTTAAAAGATACATTGATATCTTTCCTGGTTTTGAATCTTTCAGTATTTCCTTGTTCTGTGCAAAATGCCTCTTGGCCTGTGTGCAGACTCCCCAAATGACCACAATTGAGTGCTCAGGAATTTCCATTTTTGGAATGTTTCCAAACTTTCTTATTATCTTCACAGTCAACTGTCTTTATATAGTCAATAAAACACATGCAAACAAACATCTTTATGGTATTCTCTGTTTTCAGCTAGGATCTATCTGATATCAGCAATCATATCCTTCATTCTAAGGCCTGCTTGATTGTCTGACAAATCTCTGTTGATGCACTGCTACAATCATCTTTTAATGATCTTTATCAAAATTTCACTTGCACTCAATGTTAATGATTAATCACCCAAACCCACTTACATTGAGTGGACACTGACTTGTAACAACCCAATATAGGGTTGTAGATCTTTACAATTACAGTGCTTTTTTTTTAAATCGTTTTATTAGGGGCTCATACGACTCTTATCACAATCTATACATACATAAATTGTGTAAAGCACATTTGAACATTCATTCCCCCTACCCCCTCCCTCATGAGCCCCAGATAATTTATAAATTATTATTTTGTCATCTCTTGCCCTGTCCGACGTCTCCATTCACGCACTTTTCTGTTGTCCGTCCCCCAAGGAGGAGGTCACATATAGATCCTTGTAATCGGTTCCCTCTTTCCAACCCACTCTCCCTCTACCCGCCCAGTATCGCCACTCACACCACTGGTCCTGGTGGGATCATCCGCCCTGGATTCCCTGTGTTTCCAGTTCCTATCTGTACCAGTGTACATCCTCTAGTCTAGCCAGACTTGCAAGGTAGAATTCGGATCATGATAGTGGGGCGGGCGGTGGGGGTGGGGAGGAAGCATTTAGGAACTAGAGGAAAGTTGTATTTTTCATCGTTGCTACATTGCATCCTGTCTGGCTTGTCTGCTCCCTGAGACCCCACTGCAAGGGGATCTCCAGTGGCCTACAAATGGGCTTTAGGTCTCCACTCCACACTCCCCCCATCATTCACTGTGGTAAGGTTTTTTGTTCTGATGATGCCTTATACCTGATCCCTTCGACACCTCGTGGTCGTGCAGGCCGGTGTGCTTCTTCCATGTGGGCTTTGTTGCTTCTGAGCTTGATGGCCGCTTGTTTACCTTCAAGCCTTTAAGACCCCAGGCGCTATACCTTTTGATAGCTGGGCACCATCAGCTGTCTTTGCCACATTTGCTTATGCACCTATTTGTCTTCAGCGATCGTATCATGGAGGTGAGCACACGATGATATGATTTTTGCGTTCTTTGAAATCAGCTTTTTAAGGGGTTATTTTGCAAAGTAGGACTTCAAAGAAAAAGAAGAGGCCTTTGAAGAGATGGATTTGGAAGGTGAACTGTGTTACAAACGGCGACCACCTGGCTTACAGGAGGTTAAAACAGGAGTGCACATAAAACTATTGTGAGGATGGTGCAGGTCCAGAAGTGTTAGATGATGTGTATCATCACTATGAGTCAGAATCAACTTGAGAGCACCCCTAAACCCAAGGTTGTTATGGAATCAGTTAGGTGTTTATCATTAAGTCTGCAGATAAATGAACAAGAAAAGTCCCATTTTGTTCAAGTGCTCTTAATGTCTTTTTCATAGCGCTCTTCACTGGTATACAGGAATCCAATTGATTTCTGGATGCTAATTTTGTATCCAACTACTTTGCCGGATCCCTCCATTGTTTCCAACAGGCTTTTTGCAGAGACTTTGGGTTTTTTATATTTAGGCTTATATGGTCTGCAGATAGCAAGAGTTCCGCTTCCTCTTTGGCTGTTTTAGTCTCTTGATTTCCTTTGTTGACTGTAGCTAAAGCCTTCCAGCACGATGTTGAATGAGAGTAGCGATCGGTGTTGAAGAGAGTAGAGATCGATGTTGAATGAGAGTAGCGATCGATGTTAAATGAGAGTAGTGATCGGGAAATTCTTTGTTTCCCTCCATCTTCAGTAGAGATGTTTCTGTTTCCCCCGTTGATGTCCAAGTTTTAAATAATTAAAATACCTACCATTTAAAAATAGGCCACCTAGTTGTAGAAAATAAAAGGCATTATTTTTGCCTCCCAAAATAAATAGTTTTTGAAATTCTGTATTTATGAGGTTTCATGTTCAGCAACATTATTTAGTGCACATATTGGAAAATTTTATATGTTTAACTTTTGTCTATTAGTAACTTTAGACTGTCTACTAAGTAAATAGTTTTAACTACCATTCACTGCTCCAAATATGTACGTCTGTAAATTTAACTTAAATATTCTGTTATTTTCAGTGATGCGTAAAATGTGCTTTGTTAATTAATAAAATACGGAAGAACTATTGTCTTATTCGAGTAGTGTGAGGCGCATTATTAACTAACCCCAATTTCATTGTTTTATTCAAGTAGGTGGTGTGTTGACTTCACTGTCAGAACTCAGCTGTCCATGTGTAAAGACTGAGACCTCGTTAGTAGGAATTTGCTCATATTGCTATTCGGCTGAAACTCTTTTCTCACACTACTTTCTCTTCCTTTCCTCCTTAACATGCGGCAGTGGCTAACATATTATGGAGAGAAGAAGGTACTTAATTAATTCATTTTTCTATATTGTTATTGTTGAATTAGTAAATATGTTGACTATCATCATTAATAACTGCCTTTCTTCTTTTTATATTGATTCTAAGTTTTCCCTTAACTGCATTTCAGTATTCTTGTGTATGTCTATTACTATTAAAATATCAACTATAATCAGCTTGATTTATTACTGATATATAACCTGAAATTTTCATTATTAAATTGTAGTATATCAAAATGCTTTTAAGAGCAAAAGGTAAAATCAAATAAATAAAACTAATAGTATTTAAACTAATTTACGTTTTTAGTTCAGATTAAGAAAATGTACTATTGCCTTATCAAAGACTATTAATTATTTATTTAAAATCTTGATCTAAACACATGAACTTCCTAAATTCAAATCCAATCTGTATTATTGTACTACCTAGGGCTAATGAACCAGCCCTACATCACACGTTTTCTTGTCTCAGCTTTAAGGATAAGTTCTAATGCTCAATAGAGCTGCTATTGCTTCTTGAACACTCAAAAATAGTATCCACTCTCTTTAGCCCTAGGATTGTTCCGATTGTCTGGTCACTTCTTACTTTAAGTGGGGTTCCCTTCAGCTCCTTGATACTTCAAAGCCTGCTTCCTACAATGGTAATTGTTGATTCACTCTGTCTCATAGGAAAGGAACTGGATATGTAACTGCTGAGAAATCTGAGTAATCGATTTTGCCTCAGGGATCCAGACACACTGAAAACCTCATGATGTGGGCCTTAAATCTCAAATCTTGAATGTTGGATCACAGCCCCTTTATTGAAATGTAGTTGTCACTCATTCCAAATCTATTTTATATAACCCTCATAGTATGTCAGAGACCCTACTGGGAGAGTGGTTTGCATGCTAGGCTGTTAATCTCAAGGTCAGACATTCAAACCCACCAGCCATTCCAGATTAGAAAAATGAGGCTTTCTGCTCCTGGAAAAATATAGAGCTTTGGAAACCCAAATGGACAAAAGAAGTCAAATAAATACTCTGTCTTGTAGTGTCAGTATGGCTCAGAATGGAGGAGTTTGGTATGGTTTTTTGATAGTATGTGGATCAACTCTTCCTTATATTTTTTGTTGATTAACAATCACCATGAAAACTTCAATTTGTAATTATTAATTTCTATTAGGAAGACAGTGAACCCTTGCCACTTCGCGCTTCGACTTCCGCAGCTTCACTCTATGGCGGTTTTTGTGTAACAGCGCATGCTCTGTCATTACTGCCACTGTTTGGCTCATACTGTACACGCTTCTGTCTGCATCGCTACGTATCGGAGCTACGTATCAGATGCATTTTTGCTTTTGTACAGTGTACTGTAATTGTTTGCGATTTTTAAGAAATTTTATCTAAGCCCTATGATGGCTCCTAAACGAGCTGCTTCTTCTAAGCCTTCTGAAAATAAAAATAAGCTCACCATCCAGGAAAAGGTAAAACTTTTGGATATGATCAAAGATGGCAAGAAAATCGTGGAGGTTGCACGCCATTTCGACTTGAATGAGTCTTCCGTTCGCTCCATCCGTAAAGAGGAAAAAAACATCCATGCTACGGCTACTTTCACTTTCAACAAGGAAGCAAAGCGCATCGTGACAAGTCGTAATAAGTTCATAGTAAAAACGGAGTCTGTCCTAGCCGTTTGGATCAAAGACAGGCGCAAGAAAAACATTCCGTTGGATTCGATAGTCATCCGGGAGAAGGCAAGGCAGCTCTATCAGCGTTTTACAGCAGACAAACCTCAACCAGAATCCTCTTCTGCATACTATAAACTAGATACCATAAATAATATAATAAATAATAAATGATAATTGTAACATCCAAAATGTTTTACTGTATTTTCCCTTTTTCGTTTAATAAATTGGGTAATACAAGTGTAATTGTGACTAAAGGGTGTTTTTTCATGTCCTCTATGCTCTAATTACGAAAATATTTGATTTACAAATAAGGAATCCTACTTCGCGGAATTTCATTTATCACGGTAGGGTCTAGAACCGATTAACCGCGATAAACGAGGGTTCACTTATAGTTATCTTGCTGGTGTGATGGTTAAAGTGCTTATATACAAGTCAAAAAGTCTGCTTTTTGCACTCACCAACTACGTATTACCCATTCTTCTACCAGTGAGCATTTGGGCTATTTGCAGCTTCTTGCTATGGTGAATCGTGCTGCAGTGACTATGGGAGAACATACTTCTATTCCTGTTGTTTCTCTTACATCTTTGCGTTATACACCTCAGAGAAGTTTTGCTGGATCTTAGGGGATTTTTATTCCCAGTTGTCTTACGTAGTACCAGATCACTTTCCACAGTCTCTGTTTTTGTTGTTGTTGAGTGCTGTCCAATTGGTTCTGATTCGTAGCGACCCTGTGCTCAGCAGAAGGAAACACCATCCTCACAATTGTTCTTGTGCTTGAGCTCATTGTTGCAATCACTGCGTTAATCCATCTCATCTAGGACCTTCCTTTCTTTTTTTGCTGCCCCTGTGCATTACAAAGCATGATGTCTTTGTCCAGAGGCCGATCTCTCCTGATAATGTATCTAAAGTCATTAGACAAAGTCTCACCATGTTGGCCTATAGGGAGCATTCTGCTTGTCCTTCTTCCAAGAAAGATCTGTTTGTTCCTTTGGCAATCCGTGGTGCTTTCAATATTCTTTGGCAGTCCATTCAAATGCATTGAGTTTTCTTTGGTCTTCCTTATTCTAGACCCATCTTCACATGCAGAGGAGGCCATTCAAAATATCATGGCTTGGGTCACATGCCCCACAGTCTCCATAGTAATATCCTTGCTTTTCAACGCCCTAAAGAGCTCTTGTGCAGCACATTTCCCCAATGTAAGGCATCCTATGCTCTTTGGACTGCCACTTCCATGAGCATTGATTGTGGATCCACGCAAGATGAAATCCTTGACAGCTCCAATCTTTTCTCCATTTATCACGATGTTACTGACTGATCCAGTATGAGGATTGTGGTTCTCTTTACACTGATTTGTCATCCATGATGAAGGCTGAATCCTTCATGGTTGTCAGCGCGTGCTTCAAGTCCTCCTCACTTTCACTAAGCAAAGTTGTGTCATCTGCATATAGAAAGTTGTGAATAAGTCTTGCTTTGATCCTGACGCCCCATTCTTCTCATATAATCCAGTTTCTCTGATTATCTGCGTACCGTACAGACTGAATAAGCATGGTGAGGAAATACAACACGGACGCACACTTCTCCTGGTTTTAGACCATGGAGCATTCCCTTGTTACGTTCAAGTGACTGCCTCTGGGTCCGCGTTCAGGTTCTGCAGTTCTGCATGAGCATGAGTAGGGGCTCTGGTGTTAGTGTGCTTCTCAAGGCTGCCTTCTGTTGCTGGGAGCCAACCAGTCAAATGCACAGTGCTGGCACCTGTCTAGGAAACCACCAGCAGTGTGTAAGCATTCCAATCTCTGCACCCCCTTCAACATTTGTTACAGTTAACTCTTTTGCATCGGGCTACCTGTCAGTGGGTGATATTTCACCTTTGTTCTGATTTGCATCTACTGAATGGTTACTGGCAGTGAGCATTTTTGATGTGTGATTCATTTGAATATAATTTTTACTGAACTGTCTATTTCTTTCCACACTTAGTTATTGAATTATTGGTGTGTTTTTTTCTGATTACGGTGTTTCAGAATTGTATAGATTACAGAAATCACTTCCTTGTTCATGTGTCCTAACTAAAGGTGTTTTCTCAGTTTGTAGACTCTCATTTCACTCTTTTGGTGAAGTATTTTATACATGTGTCTTAATTATAATAATTCCCAGTAATCTATTTTGTCTTCTACTGTGTCTGATTCTTTTATGATATTTGGTAGTATGTCTGTGTCCTGCACGAGGGCACTTCAATTTATTCCTGTATTCTCATAGATGATCCTCATAGCTCTAGAATTTCCATTGAGGTTTATGGTCCAACTCTAGTTTGATATTGCACATGGGGAGAGCTTTGGGTCCTGTTCATTGTTTTGCAGATGGAGGTCCACTTTGCACACCATTTGTGGAAGAGACTGTAACTTTCCCATTGAATGTTTTTCCTCTTTTGTCAAAGATCAATTTCCTCTAGCTGAATGGATTTATTTCTGTTTTTGATTCTGTTCCGTTGGGCTATGTATCTATCATTGACCAATGCCAGGCTGTGTTGACTAATGTGTTGTGAGCTTGGGAAACATAAGCCCTCCTATTTGGTCCTGCTTCTTAAGGAGTGCTTTGCTTATGCTAGGACTCTTCCCTTTCCCCATGAACTTGGTGATTTGTTTCCCCATTTCTTTAAGAATGAACCTGGAATTTGGATTAGAATTTCATTATATTTATAGATTGCTTTGGGTTGTTGCCGTTAGGTGCCATTGAATCAGTTCCAACTCACAGCACACCCTTATACAACAGAACTAGACACTGTCCAGTCCTGTGCCACCCTCACAACTGTTCCTCGGTCTCAGCCCGTGGATGCAGCCACGGTGTCAATCTATTTCGGGGGGGCGGCCTTCCTTTTGTATACCGTCCCTCCAATTTGCCAAACATGATGTCTTTCTCCAGGGACTGGTCTCCCCTGACCAGATGTCCAATGTAGGTAAGCCAAAGATACCATCTTTGCCTCTTAGGAGGACTCTGGCCTTACTTCTGATACAGACCTGTTTGTTTGTTAGTCAGACCATGGTACTTTCAGTTTTCTTATCCATCACCACAATTCAAGTGCTTCGATTCTTCCATGAGCTCCCTGACTCTATGTCCAACTGTATCCTGCACATGATCAATGAAGAATAGCATGGCTTGGAGTAGGCACACTTGAGCCCTCAAAGAAACACCCTTGCTCCTTAATACTCTAACGTGGTCTTGGGCAGCAGATGTACTTAATCATGTGTCTTTGAGACTCTTGGCTGCTGCTTCCATGAGCATTAATTGTGGGTGCAAGTAAGGAAAAAATGCTTGACAACTTCAACCTGTTCTCCTTTATCATGCGGTTACCTTT